TAAAAAAATAAAATAAAATATTAATCATTTTGAGACAGAGACTTGCTATGCAGCCCAGGACGGCCTCGAATCCACAGTATCCTCCTGCCTCAGCCTCCCAAGTGCTGGGACAGTACGTATACACCGTCTTGCTCGGTGTGGGTGTGTGTGTGTGTGTGTGTGTGTGTGTAATCCAGGGCCTGACACAAACACGACAAGAGCTCTTTAACTGAGCCACGTCCTAGCTGCTCATCAGTGGTTAAAAGCAGCAGTGACATAAAGATCTTAAACCGCATGTGTGTATGCAAACACCAGAGACCTCTAGGCATGGTGGCACACGCCTGTGATCCCAGCACTCAGGAGGATGAGACAGGAAGATCACTCGGAGGTCGAGACCAGCCTGCGGGCTACAAAAGTGAACACAAGCAGCCTGAACTGTACAGCGAGACCCCGTCTCAAAAATAAAATAAAAACCAGAGACTCCAGAGAGATGGAAATGTAATTGCCCAGAATTTTATCAAATGGAGAGACGTATAAAAGGGGACACTGCTGACAGCTGAACACCAACGACCCCACCTGGCAGGAAGTTGGAACTCGGAAAGAAAATAATCAACTTATTATACACATTTGTATGATTTGATTTGCAGCCATGAGCACACACTAACGGGGCCTCAAAAACCTCAAAAGGTTACAGGCAGGTTACAGTCGGGAACCTCGTCCCAAACTCCAAGATCCATGATACTCTTGAACTGGAAATACAAAGGCGGATGTGAAACTCAAAAGCACTTTGGGGGGCCAGGGATGTAGCTCAGTAGGATAAATGGTTGTCTGGCAATCGCAAGGCCCTGAGTTCAATCCCCGGTACCGCAAAAAAAAAAAAAAAAAGCACCTTGGATTCCCTAATTAGAAGCGCTGAGCTGCACAGTGTGCCTAAGAATGGGAGATCTCTGAAACAGAAACCATTTCTGATCCCAAGTGTTTCAGGTGAAGACCACTCAACCTGTGTCACACAACACGACTCTCTCGAATGCTGAAAGCGGGCGCAGAGGTGCACACCTGTGATCCCAGCCCTCCAGAGGCCGAGGCAGGAGGACCCCAGGAAGTTCAAGGCAGCCTGAGTTACATAGTGAGACACTGTCTCAAAAGATAAAACAAGCCAGGGCTGATGATCCACGGCCCTAAACCCAGCATCCAGGAGGCTGAAGCAGAAGGATTGCCACAAGTTCGAGGCTAAACAGTGAGTTCAAGACTAGCCTGGACTACTTAGTGAGATCTTGTCTCAAAGAATTAAAAAGAGAAAAAAAAGCAAAAAGCCCCCTAAGAGTGGAGAACAGGGGGCCGGGGAGATGGCTCAGTGGAATAAGCGCTTCACTGGCAAGCGCAAGGGCCTGAGTTCAATCCCCGGTTCCAGAAAAAAGAATGGAGACCAGGTCATGGGTGCCGGGGATTAGACACACAAAGCCAGTCCTTTGCAGTAACAGAGCCCACCTGCAGCCTCGCTGGCTTCCAGATATACCAATCTATATGTGTGCAAACATTTGTAGATATTCCACCTAAAAGACTCACTTTTAACACTGTGTGGTGATTTCAAAATTAAAATTGAAGCTGACTAGAGCTAAACAAGGTGAAAAATTAAATTAACTTGGATGGAGAATGGTGGTGCAGACCTGGAATCCCAGCGCATGGGGAGGCTGAGGCAGGAGGACTGCATGCTCCAGAACGGCCTCGGGCAGTCTAGTGATGTGTCAAACTCCAGCGCATTTGGACGGTAACCCCATGCTAAAGCCCTGGCTTTGGTCCTCAGGGCCACGCACAAAACAGTTCATGAGTTCACACAGAAAATGCTTACAAAGAACCTGCTTTTAGTTTTGTTGATTTTTTTCTCTGCCACACATTTGTTTCTATTTTACTGATTTCTGCCCTTCAGTTTTTCATTTCCTTGCTTCCTCAGATTTGATTTACTATTCTGTTTCTAGGGTTTTTTGTTTTTGTAAATTGGGAAGCTTAAATCACGGACTCCTGGCTTTTCTGTTCTAAGTCTCCGTGGCTCTACGTCTACCCACCTCCCCCGCCTCACATGCTGCACACCCTCTTGCACACCCTCACATGCTGCACACCCATGTACGCACACCCTCTTAGCATTCAGTTCAAAATGCCCTCTAAGTTTGGCTTCTTCCTTGGCCTGTGGGCTACTTACAGACTCAGCTCATGCAGTGACATGAACGAAACTCACGGAGTCCACAGAAAATAGAACAAACTGGGCCCAAAAGTGCACACTGGCTCTTTGTCTGCGGGGCACACCTGTCTGGAACTGCTCCCCACCGGAGCTCAGGACACAGCACCGCCTAGCCGAGCGCGCGGTCCTGGGTTCCAGCCCAGCCACTGCTTGCTGACAGGATGGGTACAGAGGGACAAAACCTTCTGTACTTTTCTGCATGCAGAAGAGATTTTTTTATTTTTTATTTTTATTTATTTTTTTTGCCAGGGTCTCACTATGCAGTGCAAAATGACCTTGAACTCACTTTGTAGACGAGGCTGGCCTCGAACTCAGTGATCGTCCTGCCTCAGCCTCCTGAGTGCTGGGATTACAGGTGTGTGCCACCGCACCTAGCTCATGGGAGAGACTTTATTTTATTTATTTTTTATTTTTATGATACTGGGGTTTGAATTTGGGACCTTGTGCTTGCCAGACAGGTATTTATACTACTAAGTTATATTTCTGGCCCCTGAGAGACTTTAAGATAAAGATTTATAAAGTATAGAAATTGATGGGAAAGGACGCACGAACACAAGAAACTATGCAAATTTTGGCCAGGCGCAGCCGCTGGGCTCCTGGGCACTGCGCCCCAGCTCTGAAGGCCCCGAGCCACTCACCACCCACGCCTGTCTTCTGCTGCGACACGTAGGACTCGAAGCGCAGGCGGAATCGGTCCTCGCCGCCCACACGGCCGTGGGTGCCATCGTCCACCAGGAAGAAGGCCGAATAATTGTAGTCCAGGTGAAATTCGACCCCATCCTCAGGGTCTCCGCGCCACTGGTACTTTGCAGGAAAGGAGCCCTGAGGAAAAAGAGCCAATAAGGGAGGCCTTCTAGGGGGACAGCAGGACAACCACCCCCTCCTTCAGCCCGGGAAACCAGTCCCACCCACTGCTTCCCGGGCCCTGCTTCACCTTGGGGTTGGTGAGGGTGTCTCTGTTCCGGACCACGCCCCAGGGTGCCACACCCATGGCCACCACCTTGCTGCCCCCAGTGCTGGCTGTCTGATGGTCCCGAACTGCCACACCCACGTGCCTGCCGATGCCGGTGTGCAGCCCCCCGGTGACAATCCAGGCCCCTGCACAGAGGGACAGGATGGAGACAGAGTGGAGAATCCTAAATAAGGAAAAGCTCCAGGACAAGTGCAGGTAGCAGGGAGGTGGCACTGGGGCCCAGCCACCCGCCCTCGGTCACCTGTGCTCTGGGCGGCCCGCACTAGCCCACGTCGGAGCAGGTCCTGCAGCCAGGTCTGGAGGATGGGGCCCCCCGAACCCCCCAGGACTGACACCACCAGGTTTGGGGCTCGAAAGCCCCATGTTCGGGTGACCAGACTATAAATAGTTGCTGGATCCGTGCGGTCAGACAGCCGGAGGAACTGTGGACACACGGGGAGGGGGACACAGGAAGGGGTGGAGACCAGAGACATGGGGGACAGGGACCCAGAGACAGAGGGGGACGGAGGCCCAGACACAGAAGGGACAAAGACCTAGAGACAGAGGGGACGGAGACCCAGAGGGACAGACAGGGGTCCACGTGGGGAGGCACGTGTCCAGCCTGGGCCCTGGCCCTGCTCTGGGTCCCTGTGTCCCCTGCCTCCCCACCCCCACTTGCAGCCTCACATTGCTGGGCCTTCGGCCAGCGCCCAGGAACTCCAGCTCCCCGAAGGCATCAGTGGGCTTCTCCGTGGTGTGCGCATCACTGTTCCACACGGTCACCACAGCGGCACCAAATGCATCCTCCACAGCCACCGAGGGGTGTGCACCCCGGAGGCGCCCACACTGGCACAGGGTCCCTCTGGGGATGCAGAGGTAGAGCGTGAGCCCAGGGATGTCCCCACTTAACCCCCCCCCCGAGCATCCCTTAAGGGCATCAGTGTGACCCTCTGTCCCCAGAGGGATCCAGAGTCCACGCTGACCTCGTATAGGGCCTGATGCCTGGGAAGACTGAGGCAGGGACAGAAGCAGTCCCCTTCCCCACGAGAAGGAAGCCACAAGTAAGCAGAGGGGGACACAGAGCCCCACCCCACTGTGGCCTGCAGTTTCCACAGGTAAAAAGCAACGAAAGCCATCAGCCAGGGTCTTCACTGCCCTCAGCCCAGAGAGTTGATGGTCACCAGGAGAAAGTAAATTGAAAAAAGAAAGATAGAAAGGAGAAAATTTGGGGGGAAAAAAAATCCATCAGGGCATAGTGGTACGGTGCATCCCTATAATCCCAGCACTCAGGAGGCTGAGGCAAGAGGATCTCCACAAGCTCGAGGCCAGCCTGGGCTACATAGGGAGTTTCAGTCCAATCTGTTTCAAAACATTCAATAAATAACCCAGAGGAGAACTCAGAGAGCTCATGTACTGGGGGCTGAGGAAGCTTCGTGACTCTAAGTGGCTTCACTTCTCTGAGCCTAAATGTCCTCCTCTGGGGAAAAAAATGATAACAGCCGCGCTTACTCCAGAGAACTCTGAGGCGCCAGGGAAACAACATTGTGTTTCCTGAAATGAGGTTTGCCTGCCAGTCCCGGGTGGAGACAGGCTGTGTGAACTTCAGAGCGGGCTTTAAATAACCTTGAATAACACAGTGCGAAAGTCATTTCTTTTCCAGTTCTGACTGCAGCCAGGGAGTAGGCTCAGGTGGGTATCTGAGTGTCATTCCTGCCTGACCCTTTGCTTCTTCTTTTTTTCTTTTTTTTTTTTTTTAGCAGAACAAGGACAAGCGTCACACCCGGAAAATAAAAGTGGGGTGGGGAGCTGCCAAACCATCCAGCTGGAAAGAAAATACCTTTACGTTCTGTTCATAGTCTTTGGTTCCCTGGCTTGTTTCTTTCCTCTGTGAGAGACAGAACAGGATTCCCATGTATGGTCACTGTACATAAAATTTTTCCCTAAATGAATGCACAGTTCTCCCTGGCTGCTGTGATTGGCACCAGAGTCTCCAAGAGGGAGGGAACCAGGCATTCAGTTGAAAACCTGTCTGACTCTCTTGGCCCCTGATTCCAGGAAGAGGTCAGGGAGTGAAGGTGACCTAGATTGATGTAAGCAGGGTGAAGCCACGTAAGGACCAGTTTCATAGGGGCCGGGGAGATGGCTCAGTGGAATAAGTGCTTCTCTGGGCAAGCGCAAGGGCCTGAGTTCACTGCCTGGTTCTGCAAAAAAAAAAAAAAAAAAGGACCAGTTTCATGGAAGTGACAGTACGGTGGCACAAGGCTTTGGCAACAGCTGTCCAATGATGACACTCGGAGGCTGAGGCAGGAGGACGCCTGCGCTACACAGCGAGACCAACATGTAGCTCAGGTGAAGGCCCTAGGCTCTGTCCACAGCCACCTGACCCTGGTGCACACAGGGGACAGGAAGTGTCTCCACTTGGCCAGTTCCCGGCATGCTGGAGACAACAATGAGGAGACACACCCCAAGTCCCTGGGCCCTGCCTCCCTCAGTTTATTTTTGTATCCATCTCAGCACTTCAACCTTTCTAGCTACTTGTCCCCAGCTGTTGCTAGCAAAACTTCCAAGAATGAGCCCAAGCCTGTGCTGTCCAGAGCTGTCTTCCCCTGGCCATGCGACGGCTTGCTATATCACTTTCTGGGTGCCTCATATTTTAAAATATTAGATGCTTCATAAAATTATGTCAAAGACTAGGCGTCAGGGGGCCTGGC